TTTTCCCACTGTAATTATTTCTGAAATTTCAACTGTCATGTGTATGTTGCAAAGTGATAAATTATGCATAAAGCATTTGATACTAAATTCGCGACAGGTCTGTTAATTATGCGTATTATTATTATTAATTAACAGATATATCTGTCGGCGAATAATTTATGATCCATAAAAAAATGATAATACTCTTCTTGGCAGTACGACAGTTGGTTCGTTTGTATCCGACCTGTGGTAGGTTGTTGAAATTTATTTCTCTCCAACATTTTTAAGAATGTTTGAAACTAACCGCTCAACATTATTTCAGAGTAATTAATTAAACGTACGTTAACAAAAAATGATTTGATTATTTTCTCGGAGTATTTTATGGTTCACACAACTAATTAGCTGAACAGAATAAAAATGTTAGCACCGTGTGAGGTGCTCGTTGCCTCCGTGAGGTCCAATGAGGATCGAAAAACTCGTAAAAACGGCCATTACGAGAAGAGCATCATTAGTTATTACTTCATGGCATATTATGTTAAAATTATGGTTAAAGATGATTTGAGACTTTTGTTGTCACGCGAGCATAGTTTTCATAGAAAAGAACGAATTGAGGCCTAACAGGTATACACTAGTTTTTTATTTTCCCATGAAAAACTTTTGTCATAGACGTACGATTCAATTTAGTAACACTGATGACAGTGAACTAAGCAGCAATCTTGAGTCTTCACTAGTGTAATTAAAGTTATGAAAATTATAATATTATACACTTCGAGGAAGCACATGAACTGTAATTTGATGTTGAATTTCCAACTCGGTGTTGCCAAATTTGCCAAAAAATTGTAGACAGATTGGTCAGTGATAGGTATTTTAATTTAATATTAATAAAAATAAAATTTAATTTAATCTACAGTAAGCTGAAATTAATGTTATGTATTTACGTCACAAAATTTACATTTTCACACATAGCACATTCTTGAAAGGTTTAAAACATTTTACACACCTAAATATATTAATATTATTCTCAATTGTCACAGAAAAAAGTACTACATAGCGCCTCCCTTGAAGAAGATTTGAATCAATTGTCGACTTTATTTTACATTTAAATAAAAAATGTTTACTTTTTGCAACCGAATTATAGATTTCAAGTTGGACAAACAATTTTAAATTAATAGGAAATTTTTGTATGACTTTACTAAAACATATTTTAAACGTAATAGGTATTTTGACACAGATTTTTTTGCAATTACAAGTTTAAAAAATCAGTAAGCAGTAAAATTATTACTCCAAATTGACATACTATTTCGCTATCTTTATCGTGTACTAAACTCGGCGTGATTACATTTGTCTTTCTAGTTTTGTGAAATTCCTGTTCACGGTAATGTGTTCTCATACATTCTCCATAAATCAGTAGCCGATTAAATCGAAAGTTACTATTAATTTTTTTTAATTGTCGGTTGTGTTCCGGCCTCGTAAACGTCATCCACTTTACGACGTTGTAATTCAAGTCGTCATAATTACTCTTGAAGCCATAATATTAAACACAAAAGGATAAGATAGAGACAATGCTCGACATCGTCGGGGGACGAGGTAAGTGACTTTCTCACGGAGACGTTTACAACCGGTCTACCAGTGTTTTATTTCCTCTGTCGTGTTTTTGCCACTGACAAGCCGCCATTATTGGTCTCATACCGGGATCGTTACCAATTACACGTGATTAGCCGGTTTTTTTTTTCTGTGAGACGGTACTTACTGAGATCGGTGCTTTACTATTGGATTAGACATAAAAGAAAACGGGAAAACGGTGTATATATGACAAGTACATATATTGTTGTACAGGAAAAAATGACACTCTAGGTTTTGCACTTATCTTATGCTCTTTTTGAGTTTATTAAATTGATTTCTTTTTGCAAATGGTAAAGTGTCATAAAATTCACTTAAAGTTAATCGCTTTACCCTGATGAATGAAAGTCTGATCGATTTCATGTACCCAATACAAAATAGTGAATTAAAATATGGTGAAATTTTGAAAAAAAAAACTTTGAAGGGCTGTATCTTGTACATTTGGACAAAATAATTGTTTAATTTATTTTTTCTTTGCTCCATAAACGGTCATGAACAACGTGTCATAGGGTTGGGCGCAATTTTTTCAACACTCTGTATATTTACTGCCCGACGGTAAGCTAAGGAAGTACGTATTGTAATGGTGTTCATCAGCCAACAGGCTACTCTAATGTTTTCTGGACGTTTCATGACCCCCAGAGTACATGACCCCGTTTCCGTCGGTCGGTCGGTCTGTCTGTCTGCCCTGTGTTGTCATGTTGATTTTTATTAGACATATATTACAATCTTCGAAACTACCAGACCGATTGTTTTTAAATGTTAGTTATTAGGAATATGATGTATATGGTAAAGCGTTAACTAAAATTCTTGGGACTCGTAAATGTTTTTTAAATTTTATAACATAACGTAAATCTCCGCTTGTGATTTATGAATCCGTGCTGAGTTTTTACCTTCGAAACTAGATTTTTAGGAAAAAAAATGAGTTGTAAACAACATTTGGAAGAGAAAACCGAATGGTACGAAATCTTGCAAACGTTTTAAGATTATTATAAGTATGGTATATGAGGCGGTTATAAAAAATTCGTTAAAAGTTATTTAGACAGAACTTCCCTCGCATCGCATCTGAAGTCAAACATTCATACAAATTCAGTGGCTAAGAAAAAAAAGTCAACAAGGACGGGATTCGAACTAACGTGACAGGCAAACTTCATTCGAAATCATCGGGATTTCACGTTATCGCCTTATATCGCAAGCTACGATCCTCCTTGTTTCGCAGGTGCGCAAGATATTGATTATATGAAATATGGAAGGGAATATTGCACAAACATTTTTTTTTAAGTAATTATGACTAAAACTCCAGGCGGATTCATAAGCCACAAGTGTAGGAGTATATTATTTTATAAAATTTAAATGATGTTTAATGTACAAAATTTTTAGGTGAGGGCATCACATTGGATTAAACGTTATGCTTAGCGTTTTGCAATCTACACGATATTACTAAAATACATACATAATATGCCAACAATCGTCCCAGTAGTTTCGGATTATCTGTCTAATAAAAACTGACAGACGGACAACCGGAAACGGGATACCTATTTTTTGCACTCGAGATCTTGAAACAAAACTAAAAAAAGCTCAGGCAATTTTCCCTAAGTAAATGATAATGCCGTATTAAAATTTCAAATGAATGTGGTATGATTGTTTATTAGGTAGTATTCTTTTTCAAATAAAATACGAAAAAAACAAAATTTACAAAAGTTTAAAACAGCAAATTATAGCATGATGTTCAAGTGGGAGTGCTTAAAAAAATGAATTAAGTTGTTATTCATTATTCATTAATTATAACATATCCTAAACAGGTGAATCGATAAGCACACACAATATCTGAATGACTATTTAAGGTAGAAAAAAAAGTCAAAGACCAAAGTTCTAGAATTTTTTGGGCAGCGTAAACGAAACTTGTTTTCATTCATACAAAATAGTATTCCGTTTTTGATGCGCAACATAAAACATAGTTTTTGTCAAGAGAATACCCCATATATTTTTATATACACTGATTGACCTTCTAGTTTTTTTTTTTTAATTCTAAAGTTTACGAAAAATCACAAAAAGCTTACTTTAAATATCAAGCAATATTTTATGGGGAGATGAATAAAGGCATGGACTTTATTATAGCACCAATAAAGGTGATCCTTAATATACCTCAATATACAGAATGTTTATTAAAAATTCTAAAATACTCTTTTTTTATTAAGAATTGTCTGCACCTAAAGTTGATAATTTCTGCAATTTTTCTAACAAACACACCAAATTATCGAAAAAAAAAAAAATGAAAACAGTAATCCAATAATAAAATGCAAGATGTTCTACGCGAAAATTTAAAAATTATTTGAAAATTATAATATTTTAATTTTTGTACACAGTATATATTATTATACTAAGATTTTTTGAGAACTTTTGCATTGTTAACAGATTTCAAAAAAGTTGGAATAACTTGCCAACGTCTCGTCGAATTTAAAAAATAGAATATGCTGATAAACGCATAGTAGGCAATTACTTAGGGCATGTAAAACTGTTTGGTGTTTCATGTTATGATGTTATGTTATCATCGTCAGCCTTAACATGATCATTTCATAACATTGTCAGACCTTTAAACTTATTAGTGCGTCATATATACATTTAGACCCGTAAAATTCGAATTTTATGCACATAGTTGTTTCATTATTCAGGTGGTTTTATTACATTGCTTGTTATTTTACTTTACCACTTTGCAGCTTCTTCGTGAAATAAAAAATATATGCATTTCGTTCAGGATCAATGATGCCACCTTTGTTCGCTTTTATAAGAAATCAGTGTATACCAAATGATTCCAGTAAAAAACCATTCATGCTTACGTTGAAAGAAAACGGAAATTCCGTGTGAGAATACCAATTTTATTTTGAAATGCATTATTCTTATCAAAAACTACATGTAATTATAGACATTATAGACGTCAGTTGTGAAAATGAAGTTGATTTAGAAACAATGTATAGTATGTTATTACATACTACAATAATACCAGCCTTAAGTGAACAGGTGGTGATATAATATACTTATTTTTACTGTAGCAGCATATGCTTTTCACCTTGTTTATTTTATCATTCAAAGTATAATCATCGTAATTGTAACGTATGCAGTTCTAACAGTATTTTGTGATCATGACAATTAAAGAACAAAAAAATACTATTTTTTTGTTGTTGCAATGTCAGACACGGTAAAATAAAAAATAATAAAAAAAAAGCCTAAACTCCTTTTCTTACAAACGTAACAGTTAATAGTACGTTGTAACATTTTTAATTCTAGAATAAAATTTACAAAAATTCATACTTTCGAAAGTACTATAATTTATCCTTTCATTCAAACTAACAACTACAGTTTTGTAAATGAAGAGCTTTATCTAAGAATGTGTTTTTTTGTTTCAGAGAGGATGGCCAAACCTTTGGTACCTATTTGATAATTGACAACCTTAGAAGAGAAGATTATGGGGAATATATTTGTAAAATCACCAAGCCAGGGAAGAGTATTGAACAACGAGTATACGTCGCAGAAAAAAGTAATTGTACCAAGATGTTTACTCTATAATGTTTTTCTATACGATGTTCTTATTGCAGGCGAAGTGAAATATTTAAATCCTAATCCAGTTCCTGTAACGAAACTCATACTTTGTATGTCTGCAATTTTCTTCCTTTGCTTGGCGGCTGTCATTCTTAATCTCCAATATGGTTTACCTCTCAGGGTACGATTTAAGGATTCCTTTGGAATAGTAGAAGAGAATGACGGAAAAGCGAACGACGTTCTCATTTTATATTCTTCAAAGGATAGCGAGATCGCATTAGGAGTTCTCATGCCAACTTTACAGACGAAATTTAATTACAAATGTGTTTCACGAGAATTTCCTCTTAACTTAAATTATTGTAAGAGAGATAGCTTTCCTGGAAGTGAAAATATAACTAAATTCGGTATTAATTTCAGGGTTCGGAGAACTGCAAGATGAAGCTCTGAAAAGTCGCAGGATCATAGCTTTATTATCACCGCCCGTTTTAAATGATACTTGGACTACGGCTGGAATTTATCAAGCAATTAAGCAATTACAAGCATTAGGGCCTAAGTTAATTTGTGTAACGTTGAAAGAACTGCCGAAGTGTGAGAACGAAACGAAGAATTCGCAAGGGGAAACTCTGAGTTCTTTAACGCGAACGATCAATGTCATTGTTTGGGAAAGAGCAAAAGATGATAAATTTTGGCTGGCTTTGCGTTTGAGGTTGCCACCAAAAAGGCGTAATGATCGACTGGTAGAATGTAGAAATCAATCACAGGGTATAAATGATTCAAGACTGACCAGTGACTCTGATGAGAGTTTCGAAAATTTTGTGTAAATAATTTATTAATAATTTAAAGTTGTGTTGTACTTTAGTATTATTATTGTTCCAATAAAATTATAACTTTAATGTATGCTTAAAGAGTATTATTGTGATTTTTACGATACGTTGTTTTATTTTGTATTTTTTTATGTAAAATAATAAACGTCTAAGATTCAAACTTTAGGACTGATTTCTTACTTAATGAATTCTTCAAAATTTTATCACGTAAAGGCGATAACGAAATCAAATTCGCAGAAGGTGAACCATGTATGTCCGTGAATTACCTACAGAAGTGTAAGCATTTTATGGAGCGCGAAGATTTATATTTGGCGATGTTTGTTATCATGCGGGAATGATTTATGAAAATTTAAACACAGACTGCTGACTTTACGTTAAAAACCTGGACATCACCTTTTCTACCCTTGCATTTTGGTCCCCGTTAATCGATGATGCATGGAAAAAATGTTTTAATATATATTCCCACAACCGTCCTGAAGGCGGGTAATAAATGATAAGAAACGAAACATCTGAAAATAGCCGGCAAAACATCAATTTGTGTTTAATTTTTAAGGAATACAACATAAAAACATTATTTTTGCAATGGCGTTAGGAGTTTCGATGGAATTCCGTATTTTGAAATATACAACAAATACATATGTACAAATAAACGAATGGGATCATCATTGTGTAACTATAAACTCTAAAAATGATTACACATGTCAGGAAAAAAGCAAACAGAAAATGTTCAAAACAAAGTGTCATAGCTAGTTAGCTACAAATAAAATGTGATGGCCTTTTTTTCAGAATTTGATTAGTGTGGGTTACATCAAAGTATTACCTAAATTGTTGCACAAGTATTCCATTTCAGTCGAAATTACTTTGGAGAATGAAGCAGTAAAAATTCAAAAATAAATTCTTTTTAATAACATCATTATCGATTTCACTGAAAAAAAAAGAACTTAACATTTTTGTATTTTTATAACGCTTATTTTGCCATCGTCAAAATTCAGGAGACTTGAAGCGAAATAAATGCACGGGATCGTTGTTCACGTGAATGTTTATCTGGAATACTGGATTTTTGCCGGCGGTGAATCAGGTCGTCTAGATGGCTGCCTCTCCTTTACGATCAGGAATGCGAGTGTTTAAACGCACATCGCGTGTTGTAGCTGTAGTTAGGTTTAGTTAGGGCTCACGCTCCGTAGTTTGTTTTCACTTAGTTTGGTCTGTTGTATTCGATTTGTAATATTTGATTTCATTTTTACGACTCTCTACTTTTACGTTTTCTCGACCTTTCATGACCCCTAGAGTACGAAAAAATAGGTCTCCCGTTTCCGTCTCTCTCTCTCTCTCTCTCTCTCTCTCTCTCTCTCTCTCTCTCTCGTTGGCTGTCCGTCCGTCTGCTGTCCCGGATTTTTATTAGGCAGATAATCTCCGAAAGTAATGGGCCGATTGTTCTCAAATTTTGTATTTATATTAAGAATATCATGCAGATGGTAAAACGCTAACCAAAATTTGTCTAATCATCCCCACCAATAATGTGATGACGTCACTTCAAAATTGTACACAGCAAATGGGTTTGAAATTGTATAAAATAACATAGTGCTACACATGTAGTTTATGATTCCGTATTGAGTTTTTACCCGAAGCGTTCAAATTTTTAGAAAAAAATCAAAATCATAAAACAACATTTTGTGATTTCATTTTGAATCTGCTGAACCGAATGCGTTGAAATCTTGCATATGTTTTAAGGTTATGAAGAGCATAATAGATTTTTAGTCAAAATATATTTGCTTGTCCCCTCCAAAAAATTGATGACGTCAGCTCAAAAGTTTGCCGAATAAATCCTATCTAATATGTACAAAATATAGTGTGAGTCTGTACTTGTAATTAATTTATCATTACCTTCATATATTTTTTGGATTTGCATATACAGGCTGACTCAAAAAAATTAATGAATGCGTAAATTTATTTTATTGATTTAATCAGGAACTACAGAACCGAATGCTTTGAAATCTTGGAGATGTTTTAAAGTTATCATAAGCATGGTAAATTGGGTACAGGTGAACTCGGCACCAAGCCTAATCCGTCATAAAATAAACACGCCAATTCGGCACCAGCAATTTCAGGTAATTTTAAAAATTACCCTTTGGTGATCAACTCGACACCAACCACCCGCTTCAGGTAGTTCATGAATGATCCGGTAGTAGCATAGATACAAAATGTGTAATTATTATTAATAATAAAATTTATTGTATATAAAATAAATCATTGTATCTAAGTATTTTGCATTAAAAAAAAAGTATTTCATCTAGTTTTCAATTATTACACAGGCCTGCAATAAAAAACGTGTCTTAACTTTGACAGGCTGTTGGTCTACTAGATTTATGGACATTGATAACGGAAAAAAATTTCAAAAAATTCCAGCACGTTTAGATTCCTCCCCCCCCCCCTCTCCACAAAAAAAAAGAATAAGTTCAATAAAATTAAAACAGAAACCTTACCTTGCCTTGGAGTGTAGAGAAATGACTTATTTGATAGAGTTTAGTACGTTTATTACAGGAAAAATACTAACAAAATTCTATCACGTCTAAAAAAAGAGATATTATTTAAATAACATAAAAATATGTTTTTTAACAGGAAATATTTGTACAATTCATTAAATTAAAACAATTTTTCCAAAATATCTTTTATTACTTAAAATCATATATAGGTAAATGATTTTAGCTACATACACATATAGCAGTGCTTTTTTTTTCGAAAAACTTTACAGAAACGAAACTAAACAATGGTATCACATTGTAGGATTTCAACAAAACAATGTTTATTAACAAGAATCCTCGAGTCATCGCCTAGATTTTTAAACGCTAATCACGAGAAAAAGCTATTTAAAACATTCTATTACTTACAAATTTTAAAAAATCAAAAAATTAAGGAAACAAAGTAAAAAATAAAATCGGTCCTGTTAACAGAAAAATCACCTCATCCAATAAATTTTTGTATGCAGATTATGAAAAAAATCTATTACAGTATTTCTATAATATTCTTATACTACTTAAAAATTTCAGCTTTAATCTTGTTTTACAAATAAACCTTACGTGAAATCGACAAACAGATGTCGTAGATGTAATCAACGCTAAAAAAAACTACCCAAAACAGCCATCAGAACAAAAACAAATTTTCAAATGTTAAATTTGCAGACTTGTGTTATTTATTTGCGCATAACGATTTGACTAGAGGGAAGGTATCTCGGGGAGGGGGCGGATTAACCCTTGTTACCATACCTGCTGCTGTAGTGCCGAGTTCACCGATCTTTATTTGGGGCTCGGTGCCGAGTTGGCCTATCCTAACTATCCGCAAAATTTACCTGCGATTAGTTGGTGCCCAGCAGTTGGCGTCCGCCCGGTAAATTTTTGATCAAAATGTATTTGCTCATCCCCCCTAAAAAATTGATGACGTCACCCCAAAATTTTGCTGAATAAATCCTATCTAAAATGTACAAAATATGATGAGTCTGTGCTTGTGATTTATCATTGCATTAATATTTTTTTGATTTGCGTATACAGGATGACTCAAAAAAATATCATTGTATTTCAAGAGCGGGGGAAGTTCTGTCAAAACAACTTTCGACCAATTTTTGAAAGCTGTATTTATAAGTTTTGAAAAATATTGAAAACTCCACCAATTAGTCCTGTGCGATGGGTAATAAAATGAATTGGACCTGATGTGGTGCTATACTGCCCTTAATTTGACTTGAATCAACATCAACATAACCTTTAACCGTTTTGTTACTAGGTGTTGACATAATATGAACAGGAAAATATGTATATCATGGAATACATGGATCTCATGAAGTATTCGATTTTTTACACTGACAGGTGACAGGTGACAGAATGATGATGTGTAAGTTGTTTTGTTGTACAGTAGTACCACCTGCCTTGACTGGTCTGACAGCCAATTAAAATTCGTTTTATTTTGGAACGCACATTATAATTTCATTCAATTTAGTAAACACAACCACGAAATCGAACGTTCTCTTATAAGAGTACCTACCAGCAGGGCCGGATTTAACTATTCTAATGCCCTAGGCACCAAAGACTGGTGGTGCCCCCAACCCTCCCCAGGAATAATGGAGTGTTTGCATAACACTTTTATTAATTGTATTGAACAAGAATCTACCTTCATTTACAATTTATACTTGTAAATATATAGTCTAAAGTATTTATTATCTTATTAAATGATTCCAAGATTGTTGAAGTTGCACAGCATGAGTCTCCCAACGGGTGCCCGAAAGTCTCTTCAAAATGTTGTCATTTTGAATAGCAGATTTCGTAAGATTCTACCCGCCTGTCGAAGACGAAAAAAAATTATACACTGTTTGTATAACAGAAAAAAAATTAACAGCAATTTGACATTTTTTTTTAATTTGTGGCAATGTCAAAGGGCCTTTTTAAATTTATTAATAATTTACGAATTTTAATTTTATTTTAAACATAAAAAATTCTTGAATAAAAAATGAAATGGCGTTCACTTTTATGAAAATTACAAGAACTGAACACTTACCTTTTCTAGATATGACTGACAACAATAACATTTACAGTACAAAGGTACTAAAATAAAAATCAAATTGTAATGCTACTGCACAAATTGCCAAGCGCCGAAAGCTACTAAATCTGCTACTGTACGATGCTGAAACATATTTTTTCTTAAAAGACCTGTTTAGAAAATCTCCTATTTAAATTCTCAGAAATTTCGGAAACTACTTTATGGTCTTGCACACGGTTTGTACGGCAAACCAACCTTTGTTAGCATAGGGATACGGGTTCTATAAGGTTCAGTATTCCGTACTAATTTGTTCGCAAACTGGCCGCCTCTGTACATGTGATTTCCTGTGTCAGCAGCGGTGACCTACCACAAAGAATTACTCAAACAATTAAAAATTTGTCAATGAGTACTAAGATAATAATAAAATGTTGCAATTTTTAATTTTAAATGTACATTTCCAAAGGTTTTGGGGCCCCTCCAGCTTTGATGCCCTAGGCCAGTGCCTACTGTGCCTTATTATAAATCCAAAGCTGCCTACCAGTGATGAAGAGTACCACGTATTCATAGCACGTGTTTCTCTACTCATGTACCAAACATAAATCTCAACAACTGGTGAATCAAGAGTCCTATATAGAAATCTTTTTTTTTTACTTTCCTCATATACAAATGATAATAATTTATTAGCAAAAAAACTTAAAAAAAGAATAATAAATAAACATAAATATAAACTTAAGTATCCATATACGTTTTAGTAACCTATATAAAAATATCACTAAACTTACAGTTCATTAGCCTGTCGAAATATTCTAACTATTTATTTTTATTATAATTCTTTATTCATTTTTAGAAGACTCTGACCGTTTATCGTGTAGTGTGTAGGTAAATTGTAGATTTTCCTTGTAAACGTTACATAAAAACATTTATCAATATTTAAATTTAGACGGTTTAGTACACACCATTCACGAATTACTACTCTACATCATCACGACCACCAATTGTTGTATAAATTATTAGATCATCAGCATAGGCTAGTTTCTTACAAGTAAGTGACGTGAGTAGATCATTAATAAAAACAATAAATAGTGTGGGTCCCAAGTTGGAACCATGAGGTACACCAGATAAAAGTATTCTAGATAAAAGGGCGGGTTTTTCATTAGATTTTGGCAAAAAAATAGCAACAACTGTCTCTTCACAAAATGGGGTAAAACAAAACGTCTTATTTCAAGTGCAAATCTTTATCTCTCGTTTGTACATTTTTGCTTCCAAGAATTTACTTTGCTGTTGAAACACTACTGAAATAAGATATAATAATAATACAAGTTTAGCGTTTATACAGCATGTACCTATTTTTCAGTTGTAAGCACTGTTAGACGGAGTATATATTTGGGCAAGGTAACAAATGCTGAAGTTTAAGGCCGGCATACGGTGAAAACATATAAAAACAGAATATATAAAAGAACAATTAATAATACCAGAATTAAAGATAATTTCATCTTTTGTCTGGTTCTTACACGACTTCTTATAAACAAGTACTGTGCGATCAAAAATGAAACGAATTAGGTTGGTTGTGAAGTCAGTTGTATACGTTATGTAAGATATGTATGTAAGATATGTACATGTAGTAATCGAAAATAATTTGTATCCTTGTACATTCTAAAGTCATTTGCTAGACTCCGAATTATTTGATAATGGCGTAGGTAACATCACTAACTGAGCGGACGTTGATCGTCAGTGGCGTCGCTGTTTTACATTTGGAGAGGGGTTATTTGAAATAAATATTCGGCATTTTTTAAAATATATTATTACAAAAGAAACCCATATGCCGCCCAGGTAGGACGTCTACGAGTTCTAGTATGTACGGCGATGATGGGTGACTCATCAACGGTGACGGCGGCCGGGCGACGTTTGCTAAAGAAAAACCTGGAAGCGTAAGTCGCGATGGGTTTTCCAGAAATACCTCGATCACGGAACTATGGGTTAAATAGAAGCCATCTTTGGGAACGATTATTCAGGCGAGTCGAGTCTAGCGTATGTTGAAAGAAGTCAGTCAACTTGCGCCAGAATTATTTTGTACATAATCGCTGTGTAATTAGTCGTGTAAAATCGAGTTACTAAGAAATAAATTGATGAATTTAAAACCCACGCCGATTTTAATCACCGATCATCGAAACAATATTATCATTAAATTATTATTGGATAAAACAGCAAAGTCGGACCAAATAAACTCAACAGTCCACTAATAATAATCCGAACAGCAAGGATTTTTCTTTTAATTTAGTTGTGTAAATTGGACTCCGTTTCATCGAAAATGACATTAGTGAAAAAGGCAAGGAATTATTACTTGTCGATAATTTCAAGTTTGCGTTTCAAAAAATGTTATCTGGTGGTTCTACAAAAAGGTGGAGTTGTTTTGTTTTATCATAGGGTAGTAAAATTTACGTTGATGGCACATTTCAATACTGCCCAAAACACTTCACACAGCTTTTTACAATTTTTGGCTTAAAAAATGGACATTATGTTCCTCTTGTATTTGTGTTGTTACCGAACAAAGAATCGGGAAGTTACAAAATAACATTTCAAGCGATTGAAGAAGAATGTGCAAAATTAGATAGAAAGTTTTTGCCTACACGAATAACAGCTGATTTTGAAATCGCTATACATCAAGCTGCCCGAGAAGTATTCCCCAAGATTGTCATTCGTGGATGTCGTTTTCATCTAGCGCAATCTTGGTACAGAAAAATTCAAGATCTTGGTCTTGCATCTCAGTATTGCCAAAGAGATACTGAAATTTCTAAGTACCTTTCTTACATCTTCGGTTTGCCGTTTTTGAAACCTGAGGATGTAGGAGATTGCTTTGGCATAGAGTTAGGGGCTATCCAACCTACTTCTCCTAGTGTCATCAAATTTGCAGATTATCTAGTGAACAATTATATTGACGAAAATTCTCTTTTCCCTCCTGAAATGTGGGCAGAACATTCTTCCTCAATGAAAAGAACAACCGATGCTTGTGAGTCTTTTCATTCGAAACTGAATGCGAGTTTTTATACAACGCATCCCAATATTAACACTTTTATAGATGTTTTAAATAATTTTCAAGTAAACTCATATATTAGACAAATAGGTGTGAATCAAAGTAAAGTCATTTATGATAAGAAATATCTAGAAAGAATTACCTTCGTAGAAGAAAAAATTGAAAACTTAGCCAGACATGACATAACAATGTTGGAGTTTATAAAAATTGTTTCATATAAATATAAACCTAGAAAAATTTGAGATTATAATGTTTATTTTTTAAAATATAATTCAAATTGATGTACAGATGTACCTAAATAAAACAAAATTTTTGACTTTTACATATGTATCTGTGTATCAAGTGATATTTTTCTAAATAAGTGTACATATGTTTTTTTGTTGACTGATTAGATTGTAGATTAATCCATATGCTATGTACTTGCAAATTAATTGTAAATGTTATAAAAAAAAATATTTTTGACTCTTGCATACATATTGGGTGGTATGAATAAAACTGAGTAGATGCTCATACTCAAAGTACGAAGTACCTACTTGAGTATTAGCGAGTATTTGCTCGTACATACCTGTGCATTGACTCTATGTACTGTCAGTACATGCTTAGGTATATAAGAACAATTACTCGCTAATACTTAAGTAAGTACTTCGTACTTCGAGTATGAGCGTCTACTCAGCTTTATTCATATCACCCATTATCTACCTGTGCATCAATGTAATATTTTTGTAAATAAATGTATGTTATTTATTCATTGGCTTAGATCGTAAATAAATACATATATGTACTTGTGAATTAATTGTAAATGTTATACAAAAAAAAAAATATATTTTTTGCTCTTATTGCAAATGTACCTGTGTACCAATGTGATATTTTTGTAGATAAATGTATACACATATTTTTTTATTGGCTTAGGTTGTAGATAAATACATAATTATATGTATTTGTAAATTAAATATAAATGTTATACAAAAAAGTATAATTTGGACATGCGCATAACTTATTTGTGGCGTGGATGTTACATGTACTAATTCTTTTCAATAAAAACAGTTTTTTTTTTTTTTGGTGAAGTACATTCGTGTATATTATTGGACAGTCTCGACGGTGCCGCCCATTGACCTTAATCTGCGTAACCGGGAGAGAATTTCCCCATACCCTTTTTGTCACCTCGACTACTGGGAGACAACTTACCTACAGCCGGTAAGGGTAAAGTTTGTCTAGAATTATAAGAATTTTATGAACTCCCAAAGTTAATTCTTTTTACAGCCCTGCTGTCAATTTTATTGTACAGCTAAAGAGCTTCTCAGGGGAAAGCCAATGCACCCAAGTTCTGCCAGGCAGTCTGGCAGGCATTTCTTGGAAAAGCTGCGGTTCGAAAAGGGGAGTCCATAAAATTCTTATAATTCTAGACAAACTTTAATTAGTCCAACCCCAACCTCCCAACCATAAATGTAACGCGTGCCAGCTTAGTCTAGTCGAGACCCGACACGTACCTGCAGGACTACAGGGTAGCATGCCCATTCATTTTTGATGGGTTTAAAATACCGGGGCTGGGATTTATACATATACTTAAGGGTAGAATCGCAAAAGTTTACGAGAATAAAAATGTTTTGGGACTATTGTAGCCGCCAAAATATAGTGTTTTTATTACTTAGGTAATTATTGCAGTTTAACTTTTACACAATTTGAATAACCCAGCACAGCGGGGTGTCAGGAATCCGCCTGCTTGAGAGGGCAGTAGAAATACGGCCCTTTGTATATCCCTTTGATGGTGGCAGGTGCTGGGGTTTACAGCTGTCGAGTTTTATGAAGGATCGGCTGCAAAATACTTAAAAAGTTAAAACCATAACGTACAATATTCTGGAGGCCAGCAGGTATACTATATTTACTTACAACCACCTGTAAAAAAGTGAAAATACTTTCGGAAAATTTCAGAATAATTTGGTGAAATTTAGAGAATTTCAAGAATTCGTTTAAATATCTAAATAAATCTCCAAAATAACTTCACACTAATTGATTTTGCGAATTTAATTTTTTTAGTAACTTCTAAATATAAGTAAAAATAAAATGTGTATGTAGGTTATTAAACTACAGGCAAAAACATACTAGGGGGCTAGCTAGACGTATAATTAACTACTATTATATTTCAACCGTGAATGAGAATGACCACAGACCAATGTAAACGTTTATTGATAAGTGAGGATGACCCAACACAACGTAAACGTAGTAACGTAATTTGTAACATAGCGTTTGTTTTGTAAATGCGTATTGCGTTATTCAGTTGCCGTAAACGCTTCCTTATTTTTTATTATAAAACGTCCTAAAATGACAGATCGGTGTTGTGCACGGTGTGAGCAAGATCGGTTCGGTGGACTAACCTCAAACACTGACATCGATCAGTAATAAAAAAGTTGTATGATTGTTGTAGTAAAAGTTTTAAAACAATCGATCTTAACATAAACTGTTAGAATGACAACAAAAAGTCCACTAGTTTTTAGCATTTTGACGGAATGTGGCACTTCCAAAGCCCGTGTAAGTCGTATGATTCTCCCACATGGTCCAGTGGACTTGCCAGTATTTATGCCAGTTGGAACACAGGTACATCTTTAAGAAGTCATCACTTTGTTGTTCATAAGTATAATTATAGGGTACTCTAAAAGGAATGTTGCCTGAACAATTAGAAGAACTTGGTCTGCAAATCATGTTGGCCAATACTTATCACTTGGGGACAAAACCGGTAATTTGAGTACATTATGGATTGGTTGAAGAATCCTTCATACATAACTATTAACGTGTAAAAAGTTTAATTACTGAAAACTACAGTAGCAACACTTATGAGACAAACTGAACCAGAACATTTTAAAGCTTAAATGTATGCTATGATGTTGATGGCTACAGTTTGTGTGAATAATTATTCAACTGCTTTTTTATTGTTTCTGCTTATCTGCAGTCAAAGTATTATTTTTTTTTTATTTAATAGGGCACTGAAATCCTACAAAAAGCAGGAGGTTTGCATAAATTTATGAACTGGAATGGTTGCTTATTAACCGACTCTGGTGGTTTCCAGATGGTGTCTTTACTGAAATTAGCAGAAATTACAGAAGACGGTGTCCGTTTTCAATCACTTAATGATCAAAAAGCAGAAGTTATGTTAACGCCTGAACATTCAATTGAAATTCAAAACGCAATCGGCGCAGATATTATTATGCAATTAGATGATGTTGTCAAGACCACAAATCCTGATAAAGAAAGAATAGAAGAATCTGTGTATAGGTTGTGTAGTTATAATTTTTTGGTTTCTATTTGATGATTGTTTTTCAAAATGTAGGACAACTAGATGGCTAGACAGATGTTTGAAGGCACATCAAAACCCAGACACTCAAAACATCTTTCCAATAGTACAAGGTACTCTTTATGAGGACTTGAGAGAAAAAAGTGCAAAAGATCACATTGAAAGAGATGTTCGTGGATTTGCTATAGGTGGACTTAGGTATAGTGTTCTATATGTAATATATGCATTTCTGTTTTTTTATTTAAAAATAATTGGCAGAAATAATAATTATTATTCATATATATTGTACCAAGCATAACTTTTGGTAAGATCTGAAAATATGTATAATCATACTACTATAAATATTTTATTAACATTTCAGTTGCATAGACATTTTTGAATTGCGATCTTACTAATAAATGTGAGTTAATCATTTTTGAAAATTATTTGATGCATCAAGTTTTGAAGAACAATATGTTTACACTTTTAACAATATCTTGTGGTTGTATCATTGTAACAATTTGTGTTACAAGTGAATATGATAAGGTATAAACATGATCAAAAAAATAGACCTTGTGAAAATGTGTTTATGAAAAATGGGTAAATACACGAAATTTACCCTATTTCGCCATTTTCTTTGCTCACTCTGAATCTTACAATCTGAACAGGAGGTGGATGCCTGAGTACTAAAAAATATTTTTTTCCAGCGGAGGAGAGAGTAAAGATGATTTTTGGAAAATGGTTCATTTATCGACAAATATTTTACCAAAAAATAAACCGCGGTATCTAATGGGTGTAGGTTTTGCAGAAGATTTGGTTGTTTGCTGTGCTTTAGGAGTGGATATGTTTGACTGCGTGTTCCCCACCAGGACAGCGGTAAATTGTTAATTTTAATCAGCACTATTGTTATTTCATAAGTTTTAGAGATTTGGGTGTGCATTAACTAGAAAAGGACAACTGAATTTGAAGAAAGAGCAATTTAAGAAGGATTTTAGGCCAATAGATGAGAATTGTCCATGTAATACTTGCAAGAATTACACAAGGGCATATTTGAGTGGAATTGTAACAGTATTACCAGTGGCGTGTCACCTTCTTACAGAGCACAATATAGTGTTTCAAATGAATTTAATGAAGGATATAAGACAAAGTATAACCAAAGGCAAATTTCCCGATTTTGTACGGGACTTCATGCTGCAAGTCTACCCCACTAAAAACTATCCTAGTTGGATTATCGATTCTTTAAGTGCCGTTAATATAAAATTAAAGTGACTAATGTATAGTTTTATTTTTTTATAAACTTATTTTTAATAATTTTTGTATTTACATGCTGTTTTCTTGTGAGTTAAGTTACATGAAATCATCTGAATCATTACCATCATCATACTTGGACATATTTTCTGAGCTCATTAGGGAATTGTAACTTTTTAACTCTGTTTCTTCTTTTTTCCGTTTTTCATCTTCTTTCTCCCTTTCTTTTTGTTCCCTTAGTAATTTCTTTTTATCCTCTCTTTCTAATCTATCTCTTTTCTCTCTTTCACTGCGAAAATCTGTAAGAAAAAAATTCCAGTAATCAAAATTTTTGATCAAAAATACAACCTGGATGCTCCTCTTTTTTTGTCTTATTCAGTCTATTAACAATTTCATTAATTCGTTTTGCCACTTTAATTTTCCGCACTTCTTTGTCTTTATGGAAACCAACTTGCCCTACTTCCATGGCAGGTGTCTTTTTCAAATTAGACCACATAGTGTAAACCACATCAATGTCGTTCATTTTGTTTCCTGTAATGCTGTTAGCTTTAACTAGCTGAGCTGCGTCTTCCAGTACAGATGTTGGAATATCATCAATTGTTTGACCCTAAAATCAAAAATTTTATTAGACACTATTAATTTATATTTTATGCGTAACATTACTTGTCGTAATCTCAAGTACACATGTGCCGATGATACTTTGTCTACATGAAACCAAACATCTTCTGGCCATCCCCATTTAATCAGATCTTCGTCTAAAAATATTAAAAGTAAATGACTCTCTCAATTTTTTCTGAATTACTTACTTTCGTACTTGTCAATACCCATAAAAAGAATAGCAGGGGGTGAAACTACGTTACTTTCGAAGTAAAAAACCATTTTTTTTTATTCTTATTCAATTATAAATGTTATAAAGTACTTCTAAATTCCTAAATATTAAAAAACAAGTTTATGTGGATTGCTGTAACCTCACATTTGCACATTCTATACATGACAGACTCGATCAATGAAACTTGGTTTGACATTCTTGACAGTGACAGAAGTCAGTTCAAATTGACTGTGATCAGTAGGCAACCCAAGATACGACTCTGTTAAATAAGTGCTACATAGAACATAGTACATACATACATACACACTCGTTAATGCTAATGACTCAAAAAGAATCACATTTTATCCTATTTGAATTTTTTTCCTTCGCCATTAGTCCAGTTTCTTACACAGTCATGCATATCCATTTGCAAATATTTTTTAATTTACAGTTTTACATTTAATTAAATTAAGTATGTAGAAAACAAACAGGGGCAGTACTACATAGAACATTTAACACCCGCTTGGGGGATCGTCAGCATGTTTCTCAAATTATAATATCTACATGTCCTTGTTTATGATTACAAAAAACAAAAGAATAAGATGAAAAATATTTTCGTAAAATGTCGATACATATTTGATTCGTGGTATTATCGGTAGTGGGAATGTGTAAATACGGCACATTTTCTTTGATATAGGGGAAACCTGCGTATGATGATATACTTTGACACCTTTTTATAATAACCTCATCAATACTATACCATTTAGGATTTTCTCTGGGGCAATTTAAATAAGCAATTATTGTATAGACATTGATCAATTGATCATCAAATTTTCAATACATTCAATACTTTTTTTGAAAAAAAAATTGGAACCAAAAACCATGAAGTGTGCCATTATAATAGGCAGTACCCTTTTTAAGATGGCACACCCTAAATTTTTAGGTTTTTTGAAGTAATTTTAATTTTTATGAAGTATTGGGAGGCTACTATCAAAGTAATACATAGAATATCCTATTTAATATAAAAGACTAATAAGCATTCACGTTCGGTAGAAGTAACTGACAGAAACTTTTCTGTGGTTAAGTTGCAATCTTAAGATCACTAGAAATTTAAGATTGGCATCAACTGTCTAATTTTCTAATTCAAATGTCAAATCTGAATTGTGTGGAAAAAAAACGAAGTTTTTCTAATTTCAACACGCTTCGTTTCAAGAAAATCCTTAAATACAGCATGGAAACAATTTCCATAAAAGTAATCACGAGAAAACTCATTTTAAAGGTAAAGAAACAAGAAATATTTCGTGGTTTTCAAAAAATTGGGTAAAACGGAAACAGTTAAACTGGTGGCAGAAATATTCTCCGTAAAGTTCGCTAGTGTTGTCGAGTGTTTTTCGAATTTTAAAATAATACAGATACAGCGGCGCTTGTGCCGTTAATATTATAATCAGAATCAGAAAGACGACTGCGCAGATTTATATACCTACATGCTTTGTTGGTTCCGTTCTACAATTGGTTTTTAAGTTTTATATAATCGTTATTGTTTTGTAAGAGGTAAAACACTCTCGGCTTTGAAAATAATTGTAAGTAATACACGTATAAATTTAGGTTTCCGAAGGCGAAGTTTTTCACATTTTAAACACGTTATAGCTGCCAGAATCAAATTTCTAAGGCGGTACCTATCTCCAATTGCGTGATTGTGGTGAAGATTTACTTTTCATTTTCTTGGATGAGACATGGATATACCAGAACGGATCCATGGTGAAATTGTGGATCCATGATGATGACATCAAAGCTTGTCCTCCTAAAAAAAACTAGTGAAGGGAAAAGATTCAAAATTTTACATGCGGGTTCCTCTTTGGGCTTTTAGAGGGATGCGATTTTCTCCTTGGTTCAAAAATAGATTCACCAGATTACCACAAAACCATCACATTTTCGATATTTGACCTTTACTTACTTACATGTCACATTTTTGATACCTACTTTGTGACATTCCAGTAATACATTATACACTAGAACAATTATGTCCGCAGTTACACAGCTTAAAAAAAAAAGTTACCAAATCTAGTTACATCTACCGAACGTGAATTCCTTATACTAACAACTTGTAGCAAAATAAATCAAGTTCGCATATGAATTGCTTGTTTTTTTTTACACCAGCACACTTACTGTGACACCTGAAACGATATTTCTGAAATCCACGTTTCTCTAGTTTTAGACCTAGAGAACACATCGTTGCAGTATAAACAAGCAGCATCGTCATCAGTGTCTTCAACCTTTTCATCGTCACCCATATCATTCTTTTCTTCTTCAACCAAAGTCTTCTTTTTTGCTTTTCTTGATAAAATTTCCCCTTCCTTTGTTGCCATTTTTTCTACTTTCCTTTTCAGTTCATCAATGTCTGGTGTGGAATTTATATATATGTCCTTTTTCGCTAAATTTTCTTAATCTTTTCTTTAAAGCTTTAGATGAAGCTTGTGGCAATGGATGAGATAGTTCTTGAAAACTATTAAACTTCCATTTCGTGGGTAAAAGAAATCTTCTGACGTGGATTTAGCTTGGGAAATCCAGACGTTCAAGATTCAGCTTCACTAGGGTCTGGTGTTCCAGAGCTTGATTTAGGTAGTTCAACGCTCTAACAGTTGTGGAAGAGGGTTGGAACATCCACACTGGAAAGATGTTGTTGTCGAAGGGATATATTCCTGTTTTGACAAAAGTGTGTATTGCATTTGCGGATGTATAGCATCTTTCAAATAAGCTTTATTGAAAAGAGCAGCTACTTGGAAATGTGTGTTTGATTTTGCTTAAGCCAGGTCTGAATTTCTTGGCCGTAATAAGTTTGAAGAAGTGAAAAAAAAAACACATCCAGAGGTTATAGACAGTGAGTACGATGTATGAGGAAACAATACAATATCACACCATTAACTTTAGCGTTTATTGGTAGCACTTCTTTTGTGACTACCATGGCCGTCCAAAAAGAGGATGAGAACCGTGTTTCCATTCGAAGTTTTAGTGTACTGTACTCCTATTAACTAACTAAAATGTTCGGACCATTGCCATTGTACAAAAATCTCCGAACTCATCCAACTGTTTTGTTGAAAATGAGCTTTGCTGTCTATATGGAGCGTTGTCCATCAGCTCATTTTTCATTATTTTTCTTGGGATTGTAAAGGCTGGTGGCACAAACGTGCCCATGGCATTTATACAGTATACCACAGTTAAATGCTGCCCTCGTTCAGTACTAGACACCGCTCCAACTTGTTTTCGTCTTTTTGAAGCGAGACATTTTTGTGGTTGTTTTTGTATTGTAGTGCGATCAGATTCGTAGACGTTGGATATATTTTCTGGTAGAAACTTATATTTTTCCATAATATCAAGGGAATGGAAATCTACGTTGTGTTTTTTTTTTTGAAAAGTGGCGGGAAGGCGTTCTTTCATACAAGTGAGCATACACTTACTGCGTGCGAGTAGAGAGCGCAAGAAATAATACACAACATTTTTGGGAGGGGGCGACACGGGCTTGCCATCTAGCATTCACTCCTCAGCCCCAAAAACCCCCTATGGTTTATTCACCCACATATAATACATACATTGCAAATGAAACACGTAAAAATATCAAAGAAAGAGACAACCGCGAGTTGACAGACACATATATGGGAAACCAAACAAGTGCAAAAACCCTACGTTTATGTTTGGAATCAATGCAAATATTTGAATATTACAAATTTAATAGAAACAAAGCAAAATCTGAATTAAAGTAACTGGATGCAAATACACAAGTTATTAACGAGCGTGTGGCGTCAAATTTAAAATTATGGCAGTTAACAAGAACACAACAAAAATACCCCTAGGGCGTTCTAGCACAAGCGGAGTTTGGGACTACCGGTCGAGGCTCCCCCCCCCACGGTATTCTATCTATCGCAAGCCTACCGCAAAGCATGTCTCCATGACGAATAGGCCGTTACGATCGCAGATCCGCAGTTGGGTCTCGATTAATGGGCCAAATCGACAGCGTTACAACATCAGCTATCGCCCCTGAATCTATCCAAACCTGTACCCTTTGTGCAGGTGACGCAATAAATTTCGCCAGCTCGACTAGGAACTGCACTTCGCTTCTGCCATGTTTTCTGTGTTATTTAACCTCAATTCCATTTTAAATGTTCAATCTCTTATAACTCTGATATTAACAACAAATGAACAAGTGTTAAAGTTTCAAAAGAGCAATAAACAACATTTAAATTCGCTATACAATCTTGTGGAATTTTAAACAACAAAGACATTTTATGTGAGATTGTGAAAGTTGACATCAAATAATTAATACGATGGAAACATTCATCAACAAAATATTTATAAAACAAAACTAGCAAAGATTTATAAAAACAAAAGATCTGGTGTGAAATAAACTTGTGCTTGTGCAACTAAAAATATTATGTGAGGTTAAAATTGCAGAGCATGAAATTTACGTCCAATGAAAATTATAGAACAAAGGAAAATTACTGAGGTTAAAACTGTGAGATAGAGAAATATTGTATGAGGTGAAAAATTGCAAAGTTAACAAAATTTACATGACATTAATACTAGCCACACTTTATCAACGATTCAAACAAAGAGTTTACATTATGTTAAATTATATCATGATCCAAGTGATTGGTTACTTCAAAAAAACAATTTACTTTGACAGTTTAGAATACCGTGAGCTGGTTACCCCAACAAGACACATAATAAATAAACACAAAAATATCCAGTCATAGTTGCGAGAAAAAAACGTCTCGGTGATGTAAATTTTAGCATTGCGAGGAAAACCTCGATGAGGTAAATTTTAACGTTGCGAGGAAATACATCGATGATGTAATCAATCTTTAGCGTTGTGAGGATATGCCTCAGTGATGTAATCAATCTTAAGCGTCGCGAGGACATGCCTCAGTGATGTAATCAATCTTTAGAGTTGCGAGGAAACGCCTCAGTGATGTAATAACGACGATTACGGCCTAAAGGAAGAAAATATTTTAACTCTCCGCCAGTTCACAGTATAATGAATCTTGTTAATTTAAGGGCCGGTTTATCAATGCGCAGTTAAGTTAAAGTAACTGGCAGTTAAAGCTTGTCTGTGAGTTAACCTGTTTATCATTACCTGCTAGCTCAAAACTGGTGGTCAAAGTGCCTGATAAATTAACTGACAGTTCAAACTGTCAGTTAAAACGTTA